TATCTTGAAATCTAAAGAACAAGGTGCAGTGTGCTGGAGCGCCATCTCTTCCAGCCCTTCCAGCTTCCTGGAAGTATTCCTCCATTGATTTGGGCATAGAATGGTGAATTACAAATCTGACATCTTTCTTATCAATGCCCATACCAAATGCATTTGTTGCACATATGACATCAGCTCTACTTTCTAACCACATAGTTGCATTGCTGTCCTTCTCAAACAAGTCTAGTTGTCCATGATAGTAAACAGCCTTAATTCCTCGTTGTTTAAGATTATAAGCCATATCCAAAGTGTCTCGTGTCGAAAAACAATAAACTATTCCACACTTTCCTGAATATTCTTTAACAATTTTGTCTGTAATGTTTTCCATTGATTTACTTTCTCTCTTTTCTGCTACTGTAAAAGACAAATTTGGTCTTTCTAGTGATACTCGCACTGTGTGTGGACTGTCAAGTTGGAGACTTTCAATAATGCGCTGCACTGTAATTTCAGTAGCTGTACCGGTAAATGCAACCATCTGAATGCTGTGATCCTTAAACATTGATAACTGTGAGTAACTTTGCCTAAAATCATTTCCCCATGTGTCTACACAGTGTGCCTCATCTACAATAATTCTTGCCAAATTTCTTGTTCTTGACATTTTCATGACAACAGCTTGAAATTCGGGGCTTACCAATGCTTCAGGAGTGATGAGTAATATGTCGTATGGGCATTCTTGTTGTGAGAGACAATTCCACACAACATCTTTTTCTTGTTCCGTCATTCTTGAATTTATGTAACAAACATTAATCTTTTTTGCTCTTAATCTTCTAACTTGGTCATCCATTAGTGCCAGCAAAGGTGTCACTACTATTGTGAGTCCTTTGGATATAATTGCTGGTATTGCATAGCATAAAGTTTTACCACCACTTGTAGGCATAACCACAAAAGTATCAGAACCATCCAAAATAGTTCTTATTGTTTCCTCTTGACCTGGCTGAAAAGAACTGTAACCAAACACCTGTTGCAATACATCAGTCACATTATCACCTGTCAACACTGCCTGTATTTCCTGAGTGGGGGTTACTACAGTTTGAAGTGGTGTTATACTTTCTATGGATAAGAATTCCTGAAATTTAAAATTATTCATGTTACTGCATATTTCTGTGTGGTTGAACATTTCTGAAAATGTAAATACGGTATAAAAATGTCATATTCACAACTTTTATAATAGATGTGCATGTATTTTTGTTGTGTGTTGCGCTTATATTTAACAAATATAAAACATTTTCCGTGTTGATATACAGTTATATCAACACGAGTGGAATTGGGAAAACAAGAAATTGTATGGAAACACGAAGGGCGGAGTGTTTCCACACAATCGAGTTTTCCCAACTTCCACGAGTGTTGATATAACTATATATCAATACGGAAAAAATGTTTTATATTTTTTTTATAATATAGCGATGTCAAAAGCCCGAAGGATAAGAAAAATTTCCGTGTTTACAAGCGGCGGAAAATTTCCCGTGTTGACATTGAGTTATATCAACACGGCTCTTAGCCAATCAGCGTTCAGAATTTACAAATGCTATATTATAAATATATATACTGTATATAACTTTAAGAAAGTATATAATTTTCATCTAACATTTTAGAACATAAACATGGGCTGATAGGACATGCATATGAAAACAGATGTTGTGAGAGGAGAGCGGGGGGATGGCGGCGGCACTAGTGTATGCTTTTTAAATAATTTAATTAACTTTGAACTGACCCATTATTATCAATCCAACCTATAGTTAAAATCTCAAAAGGCTGATTATACATGGGGAACTTTCAACCCCAGGGGTTGAACTCAGCCCTGGTAACCGAGTAGAATTTTTTTTACATGGACAATTTCAACCAGATAGGTTGAAATGCTATACTTACATTCCCTTCATTATGTTTTGAATTCTTGTAATAAATAGTCACTACCATGCATGCTCAAAAAACTCGTGATAATTTCAGCCCTGGGTTTAAATGATAACATGACAAACATTTTTAACCCAGGTCTTGTATTCAACCCCCGGCATGATTGCTACAATAGCTGAAGCAGGGTTTAAATTTCAACCCTGGGGTTGAAAACTTGAAATTGGCCCTGGGTTGAAAATTTTGTAACATAATCGGACGTTTGATTTGATTGAGTTTTATATTACATACAGTGCTGAAATTTCAACCCACTAAACAGGGCTGAGTTCAACCCCGGGGTTAAAAATGCTCCATGTAATTGGGCCCTGAGAGTACTTTGATTCTCAAAGTAGAGGTTTGAAAATTGTCACACTTTGTATGCTTGTGAAAATATTGTTATGGAATGTGGATAACTCATTGTTTTAAGGTAAGCGGCTTCATTTGCCCTCAAACATCACAATCTCTGTTAGCCTAAATGCATAATAGGCAATTTGGAGACTTGACTAGGCCAGTGTATTTGTGACTTGTTTACATTGCAACAAGTATTGGTTTCAGATGATATGCCTAGAAAAAATAACAGGCCAGGAAAAGAACTGGTCCACAAGTGAGGTAAATAGATCACATAACAAATCAGTTATCACAGAATAAAATCTATTTGACATTCATTTATGCACTAATCACTGGGTGTGGGGGGGGGGGGATGTGAAATCCATACAATGAGATTTGCAATTTTGCTTCAATAAATCCATAGTATATCCACAGTATTTAGATATGCATCCATAGTATGGAAATATACAATTACTGTATTATGGGTAATCCAAAATCGATTTTATTTCCAATAAAGGCCTATACAATTTCCATTCTGTGGATTTCAAAATTTTTACAATGAATATAGCAGTACTTACCCTTCTGACATATTTCGTTTGCAGTTTTATCTCGTATTTTCCGTCGCGTATGCAGTACCAAGCAAGAAACTGTACATGTAGCTCTTCGTTCTTTACAGCAATCACAACAGATTCTGTACCAGAACCGAATGCTCCGAGTTTCCCTGAATGCCACAATAATACGCCGATAAACTTAGCTGCTTCTGTCGCGGTATTCGCAAAAGCTTCCATGCTAATGCCGTTTGTTTCTACGTGGAACTTTTTGAAAGACTCACTCTATTATATAAAAGAGCGAATATCATAATTTTTAAAATGTACAACATCCATAATTAATTAACTCACAAGAGCACAAAACAAAAATTTGCAATTCAAAATAGCATTTAATACATAAATGATAAAATATTCATACGCAATTATACCTGCGTAGATCGTAAGAGGACGAATTCTTCGAGGCATCTACGTGTTTCTTCACCATGTAATTCATTTAACAGCCTTCTTGCAGCCTTCATATCATCATCTCTAACTTTCGTCTTATGTATAGCTCGCATATGGTGGTCTAGTCCACCCACTTCGAAAAAAAACACATTTTTTGAACAAAAATGATGAGGACATGGCAATTTTCTATTTAAAGACGCTACATGAACAGGTCTTTTACTGTAATCAAATGGTTTTCTTGAGGTTTCCGCTCCAGTAACTTCGTTGTCCGCCATGACAGTTCCAAGATCGGCCAGGCCACAGATGAGGTAGGTACAGATGTGAATCTTCCGTCAAATTGCTGATTGTTTTGTGTCACACGGAATTCTCACTTCCGGCGAGCGCTGGCAAGTGTCGTTCTGAAATTTAATAAGGAAAGAGATAGGAAAACGCCGTTCGAAAGACGAAAAATTGTTTTTTTAAAAAATCTACGCTACCGACGGCTATTTTTGGAATTAATTCTTCAAGAGTATCGGTAAGCGATCACTTTTATTGATTTCTTTTTATTAAAAGTGTTAACATAACATTTTATTTAGCAAAAGTTTGTTTTTTTCCCTATCTATTCCTTATTAAAATCGTGAAATACACTTGCTGGGAATTTCAGATGCTCATGTATAATAACAAAACAGCGAATGATATAAATTCCTCAAAACATAACTCTGGCATAAAAAAAACATGAATACTTCTATAATATGTATAGTTTTATTTCTCTGCATTATCTAAATTTAATAAAATAGTGAATTAATACAATTTTAAAGTTTATTTAATCGGTGTGACATAATTTGCCGTGAGATTCACATCTGTATTTACCTCATCTGTGGCCAGGCGCTAGCCAGAACGCTCATATCCCACCCCCCTTTGCGCTCCTATAATGTAACTAAGTACTTCATATAAACCTCTCATATAGTGACTCGCATGAAATTTATTAGCGCCTGGGTACGAGGCAGTGGAATGCATGTAATCAGGAGCAAGACCATTTAATGATTTATAAACCATGACAGCTTTTTGAAACTGGCGCTGGGATGATAATTTTTTCCAGCCAAGTTTCTCAATTAAAACATCAGCATTAGTGTCATAACTGGAGAATGTTAGTACTCTTGCTGCACGATTTTGTAGTTTTTGAAGTTTTTCAGCTAGGGTTTTATTGCAATTGTCCCAAACTGTGCAACAGTAATTGAAATATGGCTGAACCAAGGAATTAAAAATTAATTGCAATGTTGCGACTGGGACAAATGATCGAACACGTTTTAAAGCGCCAATACCTGAAGCAATCTTTTTTGTTAATTCATTAATTTGTATATTCCAAGATAGATTCTCGTCAAGGTACACTCCGAGAGACTTTGCTTGCGAAACCTTATCAATATGAACCCCGTCTATTTCTAAACATGGAACTGATCGAAATGTGGCTATTCTTTGTCGTGAGCCAATTAGCATAAATTCAGCTTTGGATTGATTTAAAGTAAGCCTATTGGCGATAAGCCATTTGTTCACATTTGCAAGGTCATGATTAAGGTGATAATTTATGTCGTCAATATTGTTACTAGCAAATGTTAAATTAGTATCATCCGCGTACATTCGTGCCTGGGAGTGCTCAAGGCAATTTGGTAAGTCATTTATGTACAGTAAAAATAACAATGGTCCTAAAATAGTCCCCTGTGGGATACCACAGTGTAACGTACGATTGTTAGAAAGGTGACCATTAACATAGCATTTTTGACTGCGGTCACTTAGATAAGACTTAAACCAATTACCTACAGCACCCCCAAGACCATACGCATTCAGTTTTGATAGTAAAATTCCATGGTTAACTGTGTCAAACGCTTTCTTAAGATCTAGGAAAACTACAGCATTAACTTGGCCTTGGTCAATGTTGTATGCCCAGTTATTGGTGGACTCAAGAAGCGCGGTGACAGTTGAATGTAGACATCGAAACCCTGACTGGCTATTACATAGTAAATTGTTGTCAGTAAGAAAGGCATAGATTTGATCATAAATAATTCGCTCGAAAACCTTCGCTACAACAGGGATTATCTAAATTGGGCGATAGTTATTCAAGTCCCTACGCTCACCGTGTTTAAATATTGGAATGACTTTTGAGCATTTCCATTCGTCGGGAAAGATACCGGTATTAATAGAGTAGTTGAAAATTACGGTAAGGGATTCCGACAGTAGGTCAGGACAGTAGCGAAGAAGCTTAGCAGATATTTTATCTAGGCCAGTTGCTTTAGATTTACAGAGTTTGTCCAAGAGTGAACAAACCATTGATGAAGTTGTCGACTTCAACTCAAAAGTATTACCACTAATATGGCAATTGCGATATTCTAAATATGAGCAGTTATTTTCATCACAAGGTATCTTCTCCATAAGCTTAGGTCCAATGCTGGCAAAATGAGTGTTAAACGTCTCCGATAACCCCGGGGGGTCACTAACTGAAGAACCATTTAGTTTAATCTCTTTTACATGTGAATTATTTTGTTTTCTTGAGGTTAATTCATTAATAATACCCCAAGTTTTTTCATGAAAAGCATTCATGTAATGGGCTTTCTTCGCAAATTTAATTTCATTGTTCACAGAGTTGCGAGCTTTCTTAAAAGCAGCCCAGTCATAAATATCTTTAGATCGAATAGCCTTGATTTTTAAAATATCTCTTTCATGCATATGTCTTTTTAACTCAGGCGTGATCCAGGGCGACTTAGAAAGTCTTACCCGCCTTGTCCGTAAAGGAGCATGCATTTCCACAACGTTATTAAAGGTCGTTTTCCACACACGCCACATATCATTCAGATTATTATACTCCCTTATGTCATGACGTCCCAATTCTGTGAAAAAATATCGCTTCGAAAACTTTCAGAGTTAAAATTTTTAAATTAAATGTTCGATAATTTACTGTAGAATGGCCTTTATTGTGTAGACCGGTTGAAAGCTTACGGAATGCATATTTTAAGCTGTGATCACTAATACCGACATGAGAAACACCGGAGCAAACAATTTTATCTGGTGTATTGGTGAATATATGATCAATCATAGCTGAGGAAGTTTCAGTAATTCGAGTCGGTTCACTTATCAATTGATGTAAACCATAGAGCTCAGTGATGCCTATTAATGATCTCGAATTACTGTCTAAATCAGGCGATCCGAGGTCACAATTTAGGTCGCCCAATAAATAGTACTCGACATTTTCAGCATCAAGCATGTCAATAAATGTCTCAAAATAATTAAATTTATCAACATTCGAATTTGGTGGCCTGTACCATGTCGCAACGAGAAATGGCTTAGAATTTGGTTTTTGAATTTGAATACATAGATTTTCTAAATCATCAATAGACATGTCTTTACGCTGTATGAAATTTACGCTGGAGCGTACATAAAAACAAACACCTCCGTACGTTTTTCCATCTGCACTTTTAAATGCCCTGTCACGACGTATGATTTCGTATCCAGGTATATATACATCGTTATCGCTTATTGTAGAATAAACAACTAAACACCGTCTGGGCGGACTATATCTTCGATTATTATCATCATGTAACTTTTTCCAGCTCGCTTCCCTTTTTGTAGAAATATTTAGTTATGCATGGAACAGCTGCTCCTGCTACTCCATATATGTCATTTCTTTGTTGTGTCCACTAATATCATTAGTCATGCGCAGTGGTGTAGTCCTGGAATGTAAACAAGGGGGCTCTTCGAAAGTGTCCTGATTTGGGAGGGTAATTGGGGTTACATTATGATATTTTGGAAATTCTAAATATTGTTGGGAGTTTATTCTAGTAATTGTGGGACAAACATTCAAAATTATTCTTATTAAAAACAATTGGCGTTTGGGTAATATAAAATATTCTGAGCGTCTCAAAAGGGTATAGAATTCAAGGTTCCTGTATTAGTTTTTAAAGATGTAAAGCCGGTGGTATACCTTCAAGGGAAAACTACATTCTGTAATCAGGAGTATGATTGGGTTAGCAAAAAAAAATTGCCGTGAAAAAATAGTGAAAAAATAGACTCGGTGAACAACCCTTTCTCAAGTGAAAATGCTATGGACCGAGTTTAAATCAGACAAAACAGGAACGGTATTACCCTTTAACAGCCAACTTTGCTACGGCGCATGAACAACGTGATTTAGTGAAGACTACAAAAATCATCCTATTAAATGATGACTGAATTCGAAATAAAATGCCATTCTGAAGAACATATTCTCGTTTGTTGTTAAGATACGGAACGTGCTAAAAATATATGGAGGTAGGAGGGGTTAGCCCCCAAGTAAACAAGAAGGCGCCCCCCACTACAACAATGTTCATACGTGAGCTGTCACTTTAAGCTTGACAGATGAATCAACTGTTTATAGGCTCTTCTCGTTATGATCGACCTCAGTCAGGACTTGATACGACCAGCGATGAGCAGGCGTGTAACCAGCAGCCTCAAGCGAGTGGAAAGGTCCAATCGTCTGGCAGTTCAGGAACATGGTCCCCCGAGAAATGGTAAGGTCTGTGAAACGCTATTTCATGTATTTTAGACACCCTTTACAATAATCTGAAAGCCACAGATTTAGTATATTTTGTCATATACGAAAACATTAACACGTTATTTCCCCCAGTTTCTCTTCAATTTTGAAAGAATTGAGCAGTAGACCCCCTTCCCATTCATTCCTTCACCCATTGGCAACTAGCTGTGCCGACGAGCGTCACCGATTAGCTGGGGGTCATTCGTCTCCTTTAAACTCAAAGAATTTAAATGCACTTTGCTTTCCGAATGTTAACTGTACAAATTTTATGACAGGCTTACGGAAAAATTGAAGGCAAAGTGCTAATACATCACACCGCGTAAGTGTCAACTCTTTAAATATAGCTAAGCTTTATATAAGGGGCACATGACAGCCCCTATGTGCCTTCTTAAGTTCCGGCGCCCCTACTCAAGACGACGTACAGGTTTTTTGTATGTCACTCATTCAATCACACCTGCCAGGAGGAGTAACATCGCTGACAACGGTAGCTAGCGTGAATTAAGCTTTAAAATAATTGTTAAAAGACAATGCAGTTTTCTAGACGAAGTTTGGTCGTGAAACGTAGAAGCATTAACCCTGCGACACAGTCAGAAGACAAAACTATGAGTAACATGACATCATTGTATCGGCTCTCCAATTGCTGTTCTTGTTGTTTGCACATGCGACATGCTATATATTCTAGACGTTTTTTAGAACTGAATAATGCCTGCATGATATACAAAGCTGAAAGCATCTTGCAGC